CAGATTAATAGATAGTCATCTATAATGTAGTTACGTTAGTTAGGCTTTCCAGATGTACAGAGATATATTTCAGATGGATAGGTATTCTTCAAACCTTTTAAAGACCTAAGAAGATGGCATTTAAAAGGCTTCAAGAACTTAGACTTTTCTCTACAGTGAGTCAGAGAGGTTGATGGGCATTAAAGAAACTAATTTTGGATTTTGCCTTCAATGTGGCAAGACTAGCTATTCGGGTAAGAAACTGCTCTTGCCTGGACCACTTGATGGTACGCTGTATGAACTTGAACATGCAGGATCCATATAAAAACGACTGCTGAGCTTTCCAAAAGATAAGATGGTCCTTTAGGGTTCCTGCTTCATGAAAGAGTCTGCCAGGCATTCTACAGGACAAAGCCGAAAGTGACTGACAAACTGCCAATATATCTAAAACAATCTTTCAAATTTCCTGCTTCATGGAAAAGTCTGCCAGATTATTATGGGCCTGTAGGCTGAAGATGGATGCTCCAATGTTGTAAAAGAACTTTAGGTGACTGTCCAGGCAGTGAGATTTCTCTTTTAATTCTAGAGTTCCGGAAGTTGCTTACTGTTTATTTCCTGTTTACTTAGGTAATATTACATCCTTTTGGGGTCTTTGATGGAATTGAAGACAGATAGTTATAGCTATAGTTTTCCTTAGTTATAATAAAAGATAAATTAGACCCGAAACTTTAGACTCACAAAGATAAGATAGATGTAGAATATTTTCCTTAATTTTAGCCTAATACAAATAGACTAAATATTGTAACTTTAATTCTTGCTCGATAGCTTTTTTGTATATGTAATTTTACTCTGTTAAAGTTAAAACATTCCTTTTAATTTAGACAGAAAAAGGGAGATGATATGGGATTCCCCTCTGTATACTGTGAATATATTTTATTACAATTGGTTAATAAAGAAGCTCTTTGGCCTATGGCAGGGCAGAATAAAGTCAGGCAGAAAATCTGAACAGAGATATATATAGAGAGAGTAAGAGGAATCAAGGAACTATCACGTAGCTGCCACAGGAGAAGACGCCGGAACCTTACTGGTAGGCCACAGCCTCATGGTGATATACAGGTTAATAGAAATGGGTTAATTTAAGTTGTAAGCATTGTTTAATGAGAATTCTAAGCTAATATACCAAGAATGTTGTAAGTAATATAGTTTCTGTGTAATTATTCAGGTCTGGGTAGCTGGGAATAAATATATAGTCTCCATTTACAGGTTACTTTTGGCCTTTAAAATTTTATATGTATGTGTGTATGTTTCTGAGTATCAGTGCCCAGGGAGGCCAGAAGGATCCCCAGGAAATGGAGTTACAGGTAGGAGTTGTGAGACACCCCATGTGATCTTGAAGAGCAATCAACACTCCTCACTAAACTACCTCTCCAGCTCCACACTCTTGCTTTTCCCCTTTCCTGGTGTAAATCATGGCTACATTAGTTAGTTCCACTTCATGGTTGCACTGTGTGTCTGTTAAATAACAGACTGAATCCTTTGACTACTAGGATTTTCTCTTCCCCTTTTTCTGCTCCTCTTTTTTCTTCTTTCTCTTCCTCCTGCCCCTCCGTGGTCTCCCTCTGACAGGGCTTGGCTGTGCAGCCCATGTGTGCTCACTTTGTCACCGTCCTCCTCCAGCCTCCTAACTGTGGGTGTTACAGGCTTGTACCACCATACCTGGCTTCTTTATGTTTTTCCTCGTCTTCTTTCATTTGAAGAAACTGCATTTGGTGGTAGAGCAAGAACACTCCCCTGTTTATCACACTCTTTCAGGGTTGTCACAGAGCTGCCTCCTTCCAGTCATTCTGGGCTGAGGATTTTCCAGGGGCTTTGCACAGAGGAGTTCCCTCTGGTGACTGGAAACTGCCCTGCTTCTTCTTTCCCGAGAAGCACGTTGCTGCCGGGACTTCCCCACCTCCATGTTTCACCCTCGTCCACTCTGGCCTGAAGTGACGTCATGGATCTGTACACTAGCAAGGCTAATTGTGTAGGCACAGAATTTTTTCTTTAGGGCTGGAGTTTGGTGATGACTCAGGAGAAGACAGACCCAAGTCCCTTGAGGGAGTGCTCAGGTCTAACCCCGTTTGCGCTGTTAACTCAGCTCTGCCAAGATTCTCGCTATCTGAAGGATTGTAGCCACGATCCAGTGTTCAGTCTGGCAACTGCTTTGGGCCACTAGAAACGGTTAACACGGAAGGGCTGGGACTTCTCCGTCTCAGGCTCCTGGATCCAGGCCGCTCTCCCTAACCAAGAAAAGCAACATTTAGTTGTCTCAAAGTTAAATTTACACATTTCAGCCTTTGTCTCATGGCTTTCTATAAATTACAAGGTGGTCATAGGCACGGTGGACAGGAAATTAGAGGCCAGTTCCACTTGTCCAAGCTGTAAACTTCTGTTCCACGATTCATAAGTGTAATTTTCAAAACATAGGGGATTTACACTGTGGTGTAATTCGTCCATATGCTTAGGAACGCTTGGTGTGGGCCTGCAGTAAAGCTGTCCCATCATGGCAGGAGCGCATGGGAGAGGAAACCTCTGGCACCATGAGTCAGGAAGCAGAGCGGGTGAGAGGGTCTTACAAACCATAGCTAGAGAAGTGTTCATCTAATGTGCAAGGCTGGATATGCTTGATCTAAAACAGCAGTAAAAAGCACCCGACTGTGTTCCTCTCTCAAGGGGGTCAGAATCCCTGCAGAGGGAAAATGTGAATACCCTGCGCCCTGGCACATTCTAATGTGTTTTGTGGAAAGCTGGGAAGTTGCCTCAGAGACTCAGGGCACTCAGCCAAGGTATACCTTAAGGTTTCAGGTAAGGCTCATTAAAGAGGCCAGGCATTTTAAAAGGAATTCCCAGCAGTGTGGTGACCTCAGCTTGAGCGGAAGGAGGAAAAGAGGCAGAAAATCAGCACCAAAGAATAAAGGCTGGAGTGTCAGAGTAAATAACTAAGGAGCAGTGCCCAGGGAAAGGTTAGGTATCAGGCGCTGCGATATGGCCGCAAGCTTCTCAGACAGTTCTAGAAGAACCAGATGACTCACAGGCAAAGACATTACCTGTGTACGGTGCCAATGCTGAGGGCAGAGCGGGAGCAGGATCGTGGCCCTACTGTGCGTTCCTCACTGCTCAGCCTTGCCTTGCCTGTCGCAGGACCCCCACGCCTCCCATGCTTCTTCCCACACTGGGTCCATCTGGGACCTCCCTTTCTGTTCACCAGCAGGTTCCAGTGCAGAGCTGAGAGCCAAGGTGTGCACAGAGCAAAACACTGCTCTTTAGCGTTCTGTGAAGGCACCTGCCACGTGCATCTGTTCTGAGCATAGAGGAACTCACACGATCTCAAGGGTTCTAAGAGTGTCGGACCTAGGTTCCACTGCCACCTGCCTCCTTTTACCTCTGATAGCTTACGTTTACTTAGCTTGAAAACGGAAAAAGAGTAACACTCATCTCACAGCCTGCTCAACAGTGTCTGCCACACAGTGAATGCTCTATAAAAAGGATCATTTAATAAAACTCAATGACAATTATCACACGCTGTGGGTGGAAATGTACAATAGTATAATTACAATCACTTTGAGAGTGGCTTAGTGGTACATATGAAAACTAAACACATGCATAGATTATGACCCAAGAATTTCATTCTTAGGTATGTTCCCGGATAAATATTCTTTCAGATGCATAAGTGAATGTACAGCAAACTTATACATAGAAATGTGTCCAAAAGTTAAGCTCAGGCTAATATTATTTATCATTGTATTAGTGCCTTGAGATATTCCAAGAATAGGCAAGTTGCTACTTCATATGAACATATGATTTTTCCTACTATGAACAAAGTGGGAGGAATTTCCATGGTCTGTGTTCTCTTGAGAATTTCTCATCTACTCCTGTCTTTTGATTTCTCCTTCAACTCTTGCCAAAACAATGGCATTGTACAAGAGAAGTTTAATTTATCCTCAAACACGTTCAATGACAAATTGTATTAGAGGAAGGAATGGCAGATCGAGATCAGATTACAATAAAGACATGTGCACTTGAAAAGCAGGCTAATTTGTCCCTAAAAGTCATTTGCTAGTTTCAAACTAGAATTTATTTACCACAAGGTTTCCAGTTCAGCTCCCATTTCAATTCTGAGAGTCTAGGTTATGAGAACAGAGCTGGGATTATGCAATCTGGGGGACAAAGAAATCCTTTGATCTGACCACAGTATCAAGTCACATTGAATGTTTAGTCATGCTAAAGATGCGCTTGGCAGGTGTGAAACAGCCTGAGGGTGCTGAATCTCCCTTTGTTCAGTCCTGTTGGGGGAAGTACAGAGTATCTTTTCCCTTAGACTCTCCTTGGACTGATACTTAGAAACTATGCCTCACTGGGCAGTACTGTAAGTTTCTCTCCAATGATACTTCACTGGGTATTTCAGCTGTGAATATTCACATAGATCCTTTGATACCATTATAGAAAATGATGGAAGCAGAAATAAGGACAAAACATGGACGTGTCTAACTGAAAACACCTTGAAGACCATCTAAGAGCTCATAAACATGTATTCAGAATTCTAAATAAACCTCTGAATATTTGGTTAACATACACTTCATGACCTAGAGGGCTACACTCTCCCTGATGCTTCCACAGTTAACGCAGGACTGCCATTTTGGATGAGGTTAAGTGGAAGTTCATCTGCACCAATCACAGAACATTTCAAGGGAGCCACTAGGGAAGCACCCCCAGGAGAATCTAGGCATCTTTCCTTTCTGGCACTTTGAGGGCTTTGCCAGTCTTCATGGAGGTCACCAGAGACAGGATGTTTGTTACTGGATGTCGGTGAAGCTAAGTGAGAGCATTGTCCCTTGGTTTTCAAAGCTTGGATCCTGATTCCATGGATACCATCTAGGAAGACACAGGTTCCTCCTTGAAAAGGTAAGCTGTGTGGATGCTCACATATAGTGTAGTCGTCTGTATGTACTTAAAATATAGAATGCAATGAAGACGATGTGTAGGTAGCAGAATGGTATAATTTCAGAGGATAAAGACACATATACTCAATATACGGGCAACTGATTCTCACTGTTTTATCCCTGTTTGGCAAGTCTGTGGGTAAGAAGCCCTCAGATATGGGAATATCACTGTATGTGCTGTAAGTTACTTCTTCATATGTCTCGCCTCTCATAGGGTCAGTTCCATTAGTAATGACACAAAGACTGTCTCATTCTTCAGAGCCCGCATCTTCCCAGAGTGTACAAGAGCTATAGCTGAGATCCAGGACTCCTCAGATCCAACAAGGGAATGATGACAATCTGATAGAAATTTTTAGGGGTTGGCCACAGTCAGTATATTTTCTAGTTTTTGATTTAATCTGAAATTTAAAGAAGAAAAATTCCAGGTTACCAATTATCAGTTCATGTGCTGCTGTTACATGTCACCAGATCTTGTGAGATCTCAAGGGAAATCCAAATTCTCCACAATGTCTCAGAACAAAATTAGCCAATCATCTTATGAATGACAACTAGTAAACCTTTCAAAATACGAGGAACTGCTCTCAGAACTTTGTATAATCTGAGTCATATTTTAAGTCTCTAAATGTCCCCAGGAGTTCAAGAGCTATTCTTATCTTGCAAAGGAGGAAATCAAGAAGAGATCAGAGAACTTTAGCGACATCACACAGCAGAAAACAAGTCCTTGATTTTTGAATGCAGCCAGCCTGTCCCCACAGCACATGTGTCCTTGCTTCCAGGAACATCCCTGTATGCAGGGCAGCATCTGCAGGCTTCCTTCTCCTGGGTAGTGCTGTGCAGAAGGAAAGCATCCATCTGCTGCTCAGCACCAGCTCTCTTCAGTGCGATGTTTCAATGCTCTGTGCTTCTCGTCACAGCTCCCAAGTTGCAGGAATTTCATGGATCACCACATCGCTTTGATCTCCTTGCTTATTTGCGTTTTTATAATATAACAACTTTATCAAGACAGAATTTATAAACACATAATTCACTCATTTAAAATGTCCAGTTCAGCAGTTTTTGTATCGTCACAGAGTTGTACAACCACCACCATCAGTTCTAGAACATTCCCAATCACACCTGTCTCCTGCTGCTTGGCATCCTGCTGCCTGACAAGCACTCACATATTTTCTGTCTATGGATTTTTCTATCATCAACATTTCATATAAATATAATCATACAATATGTGCTCTTTTGTGTCTACCTTCTTACTTAGCATGATGTTTTCAAACTTCATACATATTGCAGCATGTCTCAGCACTTCATTCCTTTTATGGTTTTCTAAACATCCCATTGTCTGAATCTACCACATTTTATTCTTGCCTGTACCATGTGATGGACATATTTCCACTTTAGACTATTGTGAATATTGCTGCCATGAACATCTGTGTACAAGATTTTGTGTTTTAATTTCTCATAGGTATATACACAGTTGTGTAATTGCTGGGCTTCTGTTTAGCACTGTGAGGACCCGACACACTACTTTGCTGTTTGCTTGTTTTTTAAAGAAGTTATTTTATTTTTATTTATATGTGTGTGTGTCAATATGCACACATATGTTCAGGTATCCAAGGAGGCCAAAGAGAGGATCAGATGCCCTAAAAGTAGAGCTAACAGATGGTAATGGGTTCTGGAGGTTGAACTCAGGTCCTCTGCAAGAATAGCAAACATTCTTAACCTCTGAGCCATCCCTTTAGCCTCCAGTTTTTTGCTTATTGATAGTAAAATGTTTGCAATAAAAATGAAACAGTTCTGCTTCTTAATATGAGCACCTTGGACTTAGCAAAGATACCAGATGTTGTCTTCAATAGTCAACATCTGGCTGGCTATGCACTATGACTTTCAGTAATAGAAACCTAATGGAATGCTTGCTGTAACTGTTATTAAATCTTTTAATGAATCTGTGAAGCAAGTTTAATATGCTAACAACAGTTTGTAGCTATAAAGTAAAAATCACTCATTTCAGAACTCCTAAAATATAGGTTTTCTCTAGAACAGTTCTAGAATTCTAGAGGCTAAAGTTTTAAAAACTATAAGACTGATAATCATAATTATGTCTACATTGTGAACTGGGTAGAGTTGAGAAGAAAAAGGTTTAGTTTGGATAAAAAAGATAAAACAAAACAAACAAACCCACTAACTAGAAGGACAGAAACTTCCTTATGCAGAAAACTATTCAGAAGAAACAGGTGGATCAAAGATGTCTCCCCCTGGGGGCAGAGGCGCTACCAGGAAGAAGGACATCGGTCAGATTGCGTTGTTTTCCTGGCTCGGTGTGCTTATGATACTATTGTTTACATTTTCTACAGGTACACAGAATTTGTTGCCAAATAAAGCCTGATAAGGGCAAGTAAATGTTAACAGAAAAGAGAAATGAGGAACTGTTCTAATACAATAATTTTTATTAGGTTTTGTTAGAAAGGTTCCCTGTTGCAGAGTGTCCAGCTGTTGGTAAGCATGGAAATTAATTTGAATGTTTGTATACCGACCCCACTTCAGAGACCCGTGAGGGGACCAGAGAGCAACCCAAACCAAGAAACGGACCTGGTGCTGCATTTTGTTAGTGACATTTTCAACATGTAAATAGGCACATTTATACTCATCATAGTGGACCATAGCCCCCTTTAAAGGATAATTATAATTTGTGTGGTAATGACCTCTCTTAATGAAAGAATTGTGTGAGTGTGTGTGTGTGTATGCAGTCTTTTTTCCTATAAATAGAAACCAAACTGATCAATTTGTTTTAACACAGTAGGTTAAAAAAAAAAAAGAATGTTTAACCAAAGGGTGTATTATTTGATTCTGAGTAAAGATGGCTTAATTTCTCATTTGGATTTAAATTGGAAATGAATAATTAGAAAAAGCAATAGAATTGTTATTGTTTTCAAGGAACTTTAAATCACCCTTAGGGCTGAAGGCCGGGCAAGAGTGTTCGGGCTCTCTGCTTAGTCCATAATGTCCAGGCATCAGCTGCTCACAGTGATCTCCGTCCCTGTGAGGAGACCAACCCTGCAGATTCAGCAACCAATCCAGGAGCTGGATTTTACCACACTAACCACGTCTTCCTTCTCTGTGTCGTACTTGAACGTCTTGGGTCCTGAAAAGAAGTAAATGTAGCCTAGAAGAGACAAAGTTGAAATCGTGGTTACTGGAGACGGCTCGTGGGTCTGGGGGGAGGATTACAACCGCAGCTCTGAGGGGTACCAGCGCGGAACTGGGCTCTGTCAGACGGCAGAGCTTGTCTCCGGCACAGCTCCAGCGACCCAACACTCCACCCTCTCAGGTCATTCCTCATTTCGTCCTGTGCTCCAGCAGGGTAAGGTCTTCACTTAGGGCATGAGATAAGTCACCCTCATCATGTTTTATGATTTTGCTTAGTCATTTTGCGTTTGTGTAGCCTGTCAAATGTCTAACTGGCCTTCACGACCAGCAAATGGCTCAGCATGATTTGGGCCCGCTGTCTTGGATCACTTCTGAACGTCACTGTAAAGTCTAGGAACACCACTCAATACTACAGCTCAGACTGTCTTGTAGCCCAGTAATTTCATCTGTGGTACATGGATAGGCATTTCCCAAGGATGCTCGACATTCCATGAGAACAAAGACCACATCTGCAATTTCCTGACAATTTCTGAACGTTATCTGTTTCTGTGCCGCACACTCAAGTAGAACATGATTCAAAGGAAGTAACTAAATTGATTTGATTCGTATACAACAGTTCATCTGACTTCCTTAGCTATGTGTGAGATTTCACGAGTTGGGTGGTGGAAAGGCAAACTCTCAGGAAGGCAGAGACTCTAACTACTGGACTGAAGCTACACTGTGGTGCTGTTTGCTTTGGAGAAAGGGTCTCACTATGTAGCTCAGGCTGACCTCTTCATCTACCTGCTTCAGCCTCCTGAATGCTGGGATTACAGGCCAGAGCTGCACTTCTTCTGTGTTCATATGAGAAGGGCTCTCACACATCCCAGGCTGTCCTTGGACTTGCTATGTAGCTGAAGACTTTGAACTTCCCTTCCCCAAGTGCTGGGATCACAAGCCACATGCCTAGTTTATGTCACCTGGAAATTGAACCCATGGCTGTGCACAGGGTCAGGGTCAGGGTCAGCTACATTTCCCAACTTAACACTACACTTTTAAACACATCTACTAGTAAAGGGAGAACCATCATTTTATTTCTGTTTACTTATTTTTAATCCTCCTCTTAGTATGTAATTTGCTTATTTAAATTCATGAAATGACTTAGGACCCAAATAAGAATCAGTGATTCCCATTGGAATCTATTTTCTATAAGCTAAAGCAGAGCCCAGATTTCTCGCTGCAGCTTCCCAGGGACCATTTGCTATGGTGACACTTACCGTTTAACTCTACAGCAGCATCTACTTGGCCACTCACTCCCGAAAACTCCTCTTCGGTGTTCTTTGGATAGTCTTTTTCCATTTTCTTTTTTCTTTCATCATAGCTGGAGGAGATATTATTTCATAAATAAGTTACTGTTGGTTATAGGTGACATTAAGGTGGCCAGGAACACTATCAGCCAGCTCTGATTTTGAGTGTGTTTGAGATCTCTCTCTGTCTTTTTTGGATGAACAAATGAATGTGTGAATGATCAGAACCAAGGAAATATACATCAACTGAGCCCCCGGGTCTTAAAAAGATAGCTTCTGTTAAGTTTGTTCTTTGAGAAGTTCAAATATGCACATTTCCATCTGGATCCTGGGGCCTGCACTTCGCTCGCCCCTCCCCAAGCTTCCATGTTACCCCACCTTGCAAAACCAGTGGCCACTGATTCTAAGGGACAGGCAGTCATTGTATTTAATTGTATACCCATTGAAGAGCCCGCCAGGCTCTAAGACAGTTCCACACGATTGCCACACATGTGACCCTCTTCTCTTTCACATCAGGTCACTTGAATCTCACTGCTCTTTCCTGGAAAGAGATTAGGATTCTAGCTCTGAAACCGTTAGTAGGTCTCTTTGAGACCTAAGTTGTAAAAGGCCACGGCTGTGAGTCAGCCACACAGTCTGGGCTCAGCACAGGTGAGGATGGCTGCTCAGTGAGACTCTACTTCAAGCAGGAGAAAGTCCCTTCCTTCTGAGCACAGAACCTGAGCTGGGGCATTCCCGTGCACATACCTCACCAGATAAACTTTTTCCTTGGGCTACCGGGTAGTTTCCTACTCTCGGTTATGCCCACCAGCCCCTAAAATGTTCCTCTGCCTCCACAGGACAGGGGAAAACAGCTGCCAAGCTCTGAGGAGAAACTAAGCCTTCACAAGGAAGGGTTCAGGCTGATGGACTGAGCTATGCTGCTCTCTGGAGTGCTATGGGCAGGGGGAGAAGCTAACGCTCCCAGCGCATCAACAGACTATGACGTATGGCGTACTAGCATGCGACTGAGACCCTTGATGTAGACGTAGGGCAAGGCTCTGCGTCACTGACACAGAGTTATCATCCAGTGACTGGTTGCTGTCGATTCCCATCATCGCTCACAAAGAAGGAAGTCATAACTTAGAAAGGCGGAAAGAGTATAAGGTGGGAATAGAAGACGCCTCCGGCCAACCACCTTCCCAGTGCCGACACGCTCCCCCTTTATGGCATGGTGGTATTCTCACTTTGTTGGGAAAATGTGGTGATGGTCTTGCCCTTTGTGGACAGATGTTTGGGGTCCCAGTGACAGAGCAGAGAGCATTGTGCCTAGGTAGACGGCTTTGGGTTTGGCTTTTGACCTTATCTATACAAGGTGTAACCGAGGGAATACGAGACTATGCTTTGAGCTGTAAGCCCTCGGCTGGAAAAGAGTCACCACGAGGATAAGACAGCTCACATGCACGGACTCAGTCCCTGGGCCATCTCCCTTCCTCAGGTGGGAGCCACGACAAACTCTAGCCGCAGTCACTGTGGTTTATTTTGATCCCAAGAACTATTGACTCTGACTTCTTCCACGAGGTCTAGCAGACTCTGTAATTTGATCTGGGATCCTACGTCTTCAATGAATTTAAGTCTTAATTTCTCTTTCTTTTGTCTTTCCTTTTTTTTTGTTTCATGTTCAGTTTTCAATCTTTAAACCGATGTCAGCAGCTCACATTTTGTACTAGGCAAGGGTCAAGCGAGGTGGACGGAGGGTGAGAGGTTGTGGAGTTGCTCCTGAGAGCCAGTCAGGGACTTTGCCAACAGGATTACAGAAGAATTTAGGCGCAGCACAAGACGCAGGGCTTTCTGACTCAATAACTACGGGGAGATAAGCTGAAGAACGAGTGTATCTGGACTCAGAGGACATGTGACCCAGCTTTCGACAGACCACTGCCTAGCTGTGTTAGCTTAACATTTACCTTTACATTTCATTTATTTTTAGTGTGTGTGCATGCACAAGCACGTGTGTATGTGCGTGAGTGTGTGTGTGTGCATGGCTGTGTGTGCGCGTGTGTGTGGGTGTGTATGTGCGTGCGTGTGTGTGCATGCGCAAGCACGTGTGTATGTGTGTGTGTGTCTGTATGTACGTGGGTGTGGGTGTGCATGGGTGTGTATAGATTAGAGGCCACATTGAGAGGCTATGTTTTCTCCTTCTACCACGTAGGTCTCTGGGATTGAATGCGGGTCGTCAGGCACATGCCTTAATTGCTCTGCCCTTTTGCTGACCACTAGCTGTGATATGTTGAAACTCTCATTTAAACTCTCAGAGATGCAAGTTTTTAAACTGTAAACAAAGGCAATTAGCACGTTGTTCTCAAGACTGTTGAGAAAGCACATGGGAGAGACAGAAGGAGGAAAACCTGAGATACTCTACAGTTCCTGCCACATGATAAGCCAAATGACTATTAGCTAAATTTGAATATTTATAGTAAACATTTTTATTGATAATCTGCTATGTGCTATATGTTAAAATTACCGCTATATTTTCTCATGTCTAAAGTCTTGTCTATGAAATAATTCTCTGCATGTATGATCATTTCAATCATGAACATTTGCATCATCATTTAATGTGGATTAAAGGGCATAGCCATGAATCGTTGCCAATGACTTAGTGATATCACCCTGCAGAGATATCAAATGTGTATTCTCAGATGGACCTTCATCTCCACATTTGTAACCAAAGACTAATGTTGGCAAAGAGCCAGGACACAACACTATACTTACAACATAGCCTGTGTCACGACATTCCACTATTTCTAGTACGTGTACAGCTAGTTTCTTTAAACTTTAATATACTCTCCCAAGAGCCACATGTACCACATAATATTCAATTGAATGAATTTATCATATTTCATCTACTAATTCAGCACTTAAAGGTAATTTGGGTTGTTTTTCTCACTTGATTATTATAAGAATCTAATAGAATAGATTCTATTTTTTTTTTTTTTTTTTAGGAGTGTGCCTGTGAGTACACATTGGGTCTGATGTACTTCTGTTGACGTTTCTCTGGTACGGCAGATGGTCTTCCATTGCGGCCCCACTAACTCCCGGCCGTATAGTCTGCTGTATGAAGGTCCTGTCTTACTGCATTCCCACAACACTTGAGAGGATTTGACTTCTAGATTAGAGTTTCTAGTATGTATGAAGTGACATCTTGTGGTTTGGTTCACCTTCATCTAATGATGGGTGCCAGGCCTCTGTCCATGTGTTATCTGGACATTTGAACCTATTTTTTTGGGAAATGTCTACTTAGGCTCCTCTGTCGTATTTTAACTGGATTGTGTGCCTTTCTAGTAATTGAACTCGATGATGTAAGTCATTTGCTAGACCTAGGACTTACATTTAAGCTTCCTATGTTTTATTATACTTTCTTTTAGTGTCTTTTGGGCAGAAAAGTTAATTTAATGAAGTCCAGTTTGTCTGATTTCAGTATGTGTGTTTGTATCTAAGTAACCAATGTCAAATCCAAAGTAACGGAGCTTCTATTTTTCTCTAAAAGTTTTTCTCATTTTATCATTTATATGTAAGACATTTAGTCACTTTTGACTTAATTTTATTCATGCTGTGAAGAGTCCATTCCTATGCTTCTGTGTGTGGCTCTTTACTTGTACCAAAGAATTTGTTGAGAAGCATTGCCACCCAACTGAATGTCCTTAGCAGCTTGTGAGCCAACTTACCATAGCCATATGGTCAAATTCTAGACTCCAAGTTTTATCCCGTCGATGTATACATCTGTCCTTATGACTCTCACTTCTCTGAATGAGGCTCCTTTGTGGAGGGTTTTGAAATCAGCAAGAGTGGACTATGTATGCAAATTCTTCTCGTTCCTCTTCTTTCTCCAATGGCTTAGCTATTCGGGGGCCTGTGGATTTCCCCTTGAAGTTCAGCTTGTCACTTTCTACAAAGAAGCAAGTGACACTCTGATACTGTGCTCAAACTGAAGATCAATTTGGAAAGTACTGATGTCTTCAAACCATGAGGGCTTGTGGTTCACCGGCAGGAACACTTTTCCATTTGGAGCTTGTGTGTGATTGCTTTCACGGATAGCTCAGCATTTAGACTGCATGATTTTCAATATCTCCTTAGTTTATTTTTTAAAAAATATTTTGTGTCTCCGATGCTATATTATGTAGTTATTTTATGTCCTTTTCACCCTCACAAACTTGTTGAATGCATTTGTTAGTTCTAATAGTTTTGGTTTGAATCTTAAGTATGTTTTTCTATTAAAAGATAGTATCCTGCACAGAGAGAAATAGTTTGACTTTCTTCTCTGGCTTTCATTTCCCTTGCTCTTGCTTCATTGCCCTGCTTGGCACTTCCTGAAAACACTGAAGGAGCGGGAAAGTGGGGATTTCCTTTTGCCCCGTCTCAGTGGGGCCAGCCACCAGTCGTCATTGCTGAGTCTCGTTCTAGCTGCGAGGAAGTTTCTCTCTCTTCGGTTTCTATTACGGTCATGCTTTCTTTTCATCACAAAAGATGCTTGATTTCACCAAGCACCCTTTCTGCATCGAGTGAGACAATCACATGCTTTTTCGTATACTAGTCTCCTAAAACATGATGCTATTTGATTTCTGGATATAAACATATTCTTACATTCCTATAAAAATCCCTTCTTAGTCTTTGTGTGTAATTATTTTTAAACATTTCCTGGGTTCCTAGGCAGTATTTTTGGAGCACCTTTGGATTATTTCTTTATTTCGTCATGACACCTTTGCCCAGTTTCTGTGTCAACAGTTGTGGTGCGCTCTTCTATGTTTTGGAGAAGCTTGTGAAAATTTGGTATTAATTTTTCTTTAAATATTTTGGAGAAAATCACTGGTGAATAAACTCTTCCAGAGAATTTCTAATGTTAGGAAATTATTTTGTCAGTATTATTTCAATTTTAAATATCTAGGGTAATTTTTTATAAGAATTTGTAACTATTTAAAATATTTACTTAATTTTAATCAAGCATGTGTGTGCATGTGTATGCGCTTGCATGCATGTGTGTGTATGCATGTGTGTGCATACAGGTGTGTGCAATATAGGTACCAAAGAACATTTTTAAAAA